AGAACATGGAAAAGGATGGAATCCTCCCTAACTCATTTGATGAAGCAAGCATAACCTTGATACAAAAACCAGGCAAAGACCTCACTCAAAAGAAATACTATTGGCCAATATCCTTCATGAATATAGATGCAAAAATCTTCAACAAAATCCTAGCCAATAGAGACCAACAACATAATCAAGAAAATCATTCATTATGACCAAGTTGGGTTCATATCAGGTATGCAAGCATGGTTCAACATTACAAAAACATTCAACGTCATCCACCACATAAATAAAACAAAGGAGAAGAACCACATGATCATATAAATCCATGCAGAAAAGGCATTTGATAAAATCCAACACCCATTCCTGATCAAAACTCTCAGCAAAATTGGGATAGAAGGGACATTCCTCAAAATAATAAAAGGCAACTATGCAAAACCAATTTTTCATTAAGAGCTCTGGTAGCATAGTGCCTAAGGCACTTGACTACTAACCAGAGGGCTGGTGGTTCACACCCACCAGCCACTCCTCGGAAGGAAGGTTGGGCAATGTACTTCCATAGTGATACTGCCTCGGAAACCCAAGGAGGGGTCACTATGAGTCGGGGCCAACTCGATGGCACATAACAATAACAATGCAAAACCAACAGCCAACATTATACTCAATGGAGAGAGACTGAAACCATTCCCCTTGCAAACAGAAACCAGATAAGTTGCCCTCTATCACCACTTCTGTTCACCATTTTATTGGAGGTCCTATCCAGGGCAAAAAGGAAAGAAAGGGAAATCAAAGACATCCAAATTGGTAAGGAAGAAGTCAAAGTAGCCTATTTGCTGATGAGATGATCCTATACCTAGAAAACCCAAGAGACTCAGTCAAAAATCTACTGGAACTAATTGAGAGATTTAGCATCATGGAAGGATACAAGATCAACATCCCCAAATCAGTTGGATTCCTCTACACCAGTAAAGAGATTGCTGAAAAAGAAATAAGGGAATCAATAATATTTACAACAGCTAACAAAAATAAATAAATAAATAAAATACTTGGGAATAAATCTTACCAAGGACACAAAAGACCTCTACAAAGAAAACTATAAAAGACTACTTCAAGAAATCAGAAGATATCTACATAAACAGAACATACCATGCTCATGGATAGGAAGACTGAACATTGTGAAAATGTCAATTCTACCGAAAGCTATCTATACATTCAATGCAATCCCAATCCAGATCCCATCAACATTTTTTAAGGATATGGAAAAACCAATCACTAACTTTATCTGGAAAGGACAAAGACCTTAGATAAGCAAAGCACTATTGAAGTAGAATGTAGGAGGTCTCACACTGCCGGATCTCAAAACCTACTATACAGCCACAGTAGTCAAAACTGCCTGGTATTGGTATAATGACAGACATATAGACAAATGGAATAGAATTGAGAACCTAGAAATAGATCAATTGGCCTGTGATCAGCTGATCTTTGACAAAGGGACAAAATCCATTAAACGGGAAAGAGAATGTTTGTTTAATAAATGGTGCTGGCAAAAATGGATATCCATTTGTAGAAAAATGAAACAAGGTGTACCTTATACTATACACAAAAACTAACTCCAGATGGATCAAAGGCTTAAATGGGAAACATAAAACTAAAGAGTTCCTCAAGGGAAAACTAGGGGCAAATATATATATATATTTTGCTCTGGTAGTGTAGTGCCTAAGACACTTGACTGCTAACCAGAAGGTTGGGGGTTCAGACCCACCAGCCACACTCCTCAGAAGGAACATTGGGCAATCTACTTCTGTAGTGATATTGCCTCAGAAACCAAAAGAGGGGTTGCTATGAGTCGGGTCCGACTTGACAGCACATAACAATAACAATAGTATATGGCATAAATAGACTATCAAGCATAACCCAAAATGCACAAAAAGCAGATCAACTAGATGAATGGGACCTTCTCAAAATTAAATTTTTATGTGCTTCCAAAGACTTCTCCAAAAGAGTCAAAATAGAACCTACAGATTGGGAAAAAAAAATATTCAGCAATGACATATATGACAAGGGACTTATCACTAGAATGTATAGAAAACTCCAACACCTCAACAACAACAAGACAAATAATCCAATTTGAAAATGGACAGAAAACATGAATAGACACTTCACAAAAGAGGATATTCAGGCAGCCAGCAAACATATGAAGAAATGCTCACGATCATTAGCCACTGGAGAGATGCAAATCAAAATAACAATGAGATAGATACCATCTTGCCGGAGCACTAGTGACAAAGTTCAACAACATAGAAAATAACAAATGCTGGTGAGGATGCAGAGAGATTGGGTCTTGCATACCCTGCTGGTGTGGCTGTCAAATGATACAACCACTGTGGAAAGCAGTATGATGGTTCTTTAAAAAGTTGTAATTAGAAATACCATTTGACCCAGCCATTCCATTGTTGTTATTGTTGTTGTTGTTAAGAGCTGTTGAGTCATTTCCAACTCATAGCAACCCCATGCACAGCAGAACGAAACACTGCCTGATCCCATGCCAGACCCACAATCCCTGCTATACTTTAGCCCATCATCGCAGCCACCATGTCAATCCATCTCGTTGAAGGCCTCCCCCTCTTTTGTCGACCCTCCACCCTACCAAGCATGACATCCTTCTCCAGGGAATGGTCCCTTCTGACAACATGACCAAAATAGGTGAGACAAAGTCTGGCCATTCTTGCTTCCAAGGAGCATTCTGGCTGCACTTCCTCCAGGACAGATCTGTTAGTTCTTTTAGCAGTCCATGGTACTTTCAGCATTCTTCGCCAGCACCACAACCCAAAAGCATCAACTCTTCTTCAGTCTTCCTTATTCATTGTCCAGCTCTCACATGCATACGAGGTGATCGGAAATATCATGGCTTGTGTCAGGCGCACCTTAGTCCTCAAGGAGATATCCTTGCTCCTCAGCACTTGATACAGTTCCTTCGTAGTCGACTTTCCCAATGTTACACGTCACCTAATGTCCTGACTGCTGCTTCTGTTGGCATTGATTGTAGAACCAAGCAATGTGAATTCTTTGACAACCTCAATCTTCTCTCCATTTATTGTGATGCTGCTCATTTGTGAGGATTTTTGTTTTCTTTATATTGAGACGTAATCCATACTGCAGACTGTATTCTTCAACCTTCATCAGTAGGTGCCTTAAGTCATCCTCACTTTCAGCCATTCCATTACTAGGTATATATCCTAAAGAAGTGAGAGCCAGGACAAGAACAGATATATGCACACCCATGTTCATTGCAGCCCTATTTACAATAACCAAAAGATAGAAATAACCTAGGCATCCCTCAACTGAGAATTGGGTAACCAAACTATGCTACACACACACACAGCGGAATACTCTGCAACCCTAAAGAATAACGTAGAATCTGCAAAACCCTGCATAATGTGGGTGAACTTGAGGACATTATACTGAGTGAAATAAATCAATCACAGAAGGGCAAATAATTTATTAGTCTGTTATTGTTAAAAGGAAAAGTTTATATACAGGAGGAAATTTTCTTTGTGGGTTACCATGGGTGGGAGGGAACACTGTTAGATAGGTAGAGAAAATATTGTTTTGGGTTAAGAGATGGGCAATGTACCAAATGTAAGTGATCAACTTGGTGGCATTGAGGAAGAGGAAGACATAGAGAGCTACATGAGAGGTACAGACAACAAAGATAAACCCATTTGCACATACAGTACTCCATTGTCAGTGGAGGCAAACATGGCTACACGGGTGGATAGATGGGTGGACAGCCTGAACTATTAAGTATGCCTATGCAGGTGGAGTGTGCCCAAGTGTGCCCAAGAGTGTTTAGGGTTGGCAGACAATGTTTCTACAAGTGTATTTATATGTTCTGTAAGAATTCCCAGTTGTATAGCAGAGCTGACAAGAGACAAAATTGTAGTCACTTCTTGGCACAAGCAGCTACCTAGAGGGAGCGAGTAGTTGAACCTGTGGACTCAGGACCATAGTAGCAGAGGACATGAAGCTCAATTAGCATAACACACTACGCAAAATATTGTTCCACCTCCTACTTTGCCAAGTAGTGACTGGGATCTTCAAATCTTGCAAGCAGCCATCTAGATACAATGACTGGTCTCTCCTCATGCAGAACAAAGAAGAATGAAGAAAAACAAAAATTCATGGAAACAATTATTCCAAGTGATTGGTACACCATGTGATCCTCAGCCTATACATCTACGAGACCAAAAGAACTAGAAGGTGCCTGGCTACCACTGTCAACCACTTGGAGGGGAATCTATGCAGGAGATCCTGGATAGAGTGGGAGAACAATGTGGAACAAAACACAAAATCATTTGAAAAGAAAAAAGAAGAGGAAGACCAGGTTTGTTGGTCTGAAAGAACCTGATGGAACCACTGAGACTATGACCCCCAGCTGCCCTTCAAGTCTGGAATTGAACCCACTCCTCTGGCTTCCAGCCAAACAAAAGACAGGCACATGAGATGAACATTTACGCTAGGTAGTTACACTCCTTGGAGAGAACAATCACGGGAGAATAGAAGGGCTGTGTATGCACAGAGACATAGCTCAGGGGGCAGGAGTGCATGGAGGGAAGGACACAGGGAAGAGGTAACTATGGGGAAGAAGTGGGAGGGGAGCTGTGGCATTGTAAATTGTAGTCAATGTCATGACCAATGTGTATGTGAACTGCTGTATGGAAAATGAATTTGCTCTGTAAACTTTCACCCAAATCACAAAAGAAAAAAGAAAGAAAAACCTATAGATGACTGATTTCAAATTCAATCACATGTCAATAATTAGTTTTATATATGAATATTTCAGATATATAAAATAATGAACCTTATGAAATTAAAAGAAGGGAAAGATTTTTCTTTTTTTTAATGTTCCTTAGGATGACTACAGAAAGTTCCAAAGGTATTTTAAGTTTTGCGAATGCAAACCTGTTCCCACAGTAAATGGACATTTGCAGGAAGCTCATTGAGTCCCAGGTACTCACAAGTCACTGGTATGGCAGGGATACGGGATTGCCTGCGCCAGTATTGTTGGTTCCAGAGCATCCTGGCCTGTCTGCACTGAGATGATGGCCCTTTCGATCATGTCTTGCAATGGGACAAAGATATAGTTATATTTGAACCCATCAGCTGGAAGACTTTGTGGATGGAACTTCCAAAAGGGGTTTTTAACCAAATCTGTTCTCATGCTATATAAGATACTGGTCCGAATTGTATATGTAACAAGGGGTGGCAGTTTGAGATTCTCTGACGGGAAGTTCTTATTGATGAAGGTATTGTTGAATATAATACCTAGTGGCAGAAAAGAAAAAGTAAAAGATTACAATTTAGAGAGAGTTTTGCATAATCCAAAATCATATCGGAATTGAGAAACTGGAAGGACTGTTAGAAACATAAATTATGACAGCCCTTTTCTCTTGCAGAAGGAGACCCTGAGACCCAGGGTGGTAAAACTGATAGGTGTTAGGCAACCTCTTAGTAGAAAGTTACAAGCAAGATCTCTTAATTCCCAGTTTAATGGCTTTTATTTTATTTTATATAAACCATAATGCAGTATCATCAATACAAAAAAGTTATTTGTATTACATTTTTGCAGGACTTGTAAAATTGCACTCAAAAAAACCAAAGTTACTGCCGTGGAGTTGGATCCAACTCATAGCAACCCCTCCTTGTATTTCTGAGATGGTATCACTATGGAAGTAGAGTGCCCAATCTTCCTTCCGGGGAGTGGCTGGTGGGTTTGAACCACCATCTTTCTGGTTAGCAGTCAAATATCTTAAGCACTCTGCCACCAGAGCTCCTCAAATATAAGACTTTCCTTCTCTCAAATTCCAGGTATATTCCTAAGAATCCATCCCTTTGGTGTTATAGATCTTTCAAAACTTTAACATGGATTCTACATTCAGTCACATGAATTCCTTGAATTTCATGTATAATGACTCAATTTAAAATATTACTCAGAAAGAATATAAAAGAATACATCATACTTTTAAAAAAAGAACATGTACATGTCTTAAATAGGTGAAAAATTATGGGATGGAGTTGAATTGTCCATTGTCTTGCCCTGTTTTTTTTCTTTTCCTCAAGGTAATAAGATATTATGATAAAGATGAGAGGGGAAATTATTTTCTTTCTGAGGGAGAAATATGCAATAAGAATGCCTATTTGTGCTTATGCCTTTGTGAACATAATCTTCACTGAACACTTACTCGCCAAGAAATCATTCCTCTGCATGAGTTCATGTGCTTTAGTCTCCAGGAGGTCAACAGATTCGTGAACTTGGAAGCGGTTCAATACCACACAGGAGGAGAGATTTACCAAGATGTGGCTCAGGAACTGCAGGTGTGCAGCCCCTGTGTGGTTAAATATCCTGTCCATCACTCCCCCTGAAGGAAGAAAAATCAGGACATGTTAACTTTGTTTTCAGGCCAGTGCTTACTGCTCATATCAGAAGGTTATACAAATGAACTTAAAAATGAATACAAATTCCTTCACTAAAAATTACTCAAAACAGTCTAATTTTGTTCATATGCAAAGTCTGCTACATATTTGCTGAGTGTAAACTCTCCACTTTTAAAATATATTTTCTAGAATGCTGATACTTGTATGTAAGTGAGGAGAATACAGTTAAGACACAAGGATGATATATCAATACAGTTGTCTGAAGCAAGGGAATGTCTACCAGTGGAGATATGTAAAATAAACAAAGAAGAGAAACTCTATGAGGTATATGAAGAGTCTTTTGGAGAGAATGCAGGATTAAAAATATACAATAAAAGCTAAAGCTCCAACCTGGAGTCAAGTGATTCTAAAAAATATTCCTTAACAGAAAGAGCAGCAGACATTTTATGGAAGCCATTTTATAAAATTAATTTTGCAAAAACAGTGCTATAAAAACATACAGGTATATAGCAGAGCTGACAAGGGACAAGGTTGTGGTGACTTCTTGGCCACAGCCAACTACCCAGAGGGAGAGAGTAGTTGGACTTGTGGGCTCAGGACCATAAACACAGGGGCCATCAAGCTCTATTGGCATAACATAATACATACACAAAAACATTGTTCCACATCCTACTTTAATGAGTAGCAACTGGGATCTTAAAAGCTTTCAAGAGGCCACCTAGATGCAATGATGGGTCTCTCTGCATGCAGAGCAAAGAATGAAGAAAACCAAAGATGCATGGAAACAATTACTACAAGGGACTGGTAGACCATGCAATCCTCAGCTTATATGACCATGAGACCAGAACTAGGTGGTGCCTGGCTTCCACTGACAACCACTTGGAGGGAGATCCATGTAGGAGATCCTGAATAGAGTGGGAGAACAAAGTGTAATAAAACTCAAAATCATAAAAAGGTGGGGGGGGGGGACCAGGTTTGAGACCCATGAGACTAGGGCCCCTAGCTCTCCTTCAGGCAGGTCTGGATTTGAATTCACTCCCATGGCTTCCAGCCAAATAATAGAACATTTACATCGGGTAAATACACTACTTGGAGTGATCAATCATGGTAGAACAGAAGGGCAGTGTATGCACAAGGAGACAGCTGCAGGGAGGTGGAAGTAAATGGGAGGGAAGGACACAGGGAAGAGGTAACTATGAGGAGGAAGTGTGAAGAGAGCTGTTATATTGTGGAGAATTGCAATCAATCTCATGAGACAAAATGTGTATGAACTACTGTATGAAAAACAAATTTTCTCTGCAACGTTTACCAAAGTCACAATACAATTTAAAAAAAAAATTTGCAAAAACAGTTATCAAAGAATATTTGCAGAGAGGAAATAAAATCCTCCTGTAGTCTCTGTCTTGACTTTGTGCATTTGAAGTGGAAATAATGATAAATGTAAACTTAGCAACATTTTTGCTGTTGAGAGTAATCTTCAAATATTTTCAGACAAAAACACTGGGGATATCTCAGCATTCTAGCTCTGGTTGCAGAAAGGAAGTGGAGCACAGTAGATAGACATGAAAAACAAATGATCTAGAGAAAAACAGTGTGACAAAAATGCCCAGAACCAACCTGGACAAACTAACTCACATAGAGAGGTCAAGCGACTTATAAAAGATAACAGAATTCATATGTGGCAGAGCTGTTATGAGAACTGAGTTCTTCCAAGTCTTTTTCTTTTTAATTGGCTATTTTTAGATCAGTTTTAAACTTACAAAAATCGCACAAAAAGTGCAGAGTTCCTATTTACTTTGCTTCCTAGTGCACACAATTTCTCTTATTAACATCTTAAAATGGTTGGTATATTTGTTACAATTGATGAAGTAATCTTAATACATTATTATCACTAAAGTAATAACAATAATATTACTTGGTTTCACAATCAATACCAATGGAAGGAGCAGACAAGAAATCAGACATCAAATTGCACTGGGCAAATCTGCTGCAAAAGACCTCTTTCAAGTGCTGATGAGCAAAGATGTCTCCTTGAAGACTAAGGTGTGCCTAACCCAAGCTATGGTGTTTTCAGTCTCCTCATGTGCAAATGAAAGCTGGACAATGATTAGGAAGACAGAAAAAGAGTTGATGCTTTTGAGTTGTGGTGTTGGCAAAGACTGCCAGAAGAACTAATAAATCTGTTCTGGACAAGGCAGCCAGAATGCTCCTTGGAAGGGAGAATGGCCAGACTTCGTCTCACCTACTTTGGTCATGTCTTCAGAAGGGACCATTCTCTGGTGAAGGATGTCATGCTTGGTAAAGTGGACAGTCAGCAAAAAAGGGGAAGACCCTCAAGGAGATTGATTGACACAGTGACTGTAACAGTGGACTCTGGTATAGCAAGTATTGTGAGGCTAATCCAGGACTGAGCGGTGTTTTGTTCTGTTGTATGTAGGGGCACTATGAGTTGGAGCTGACTCAACAATACCTAACAAAAACAATGTAATTAAAATCCATAGTTTTCTCTTTGTGTTGTATAGACCTATGGGATTTAACAATTGTGTAATGTCATGAGTCAAGTATTGTAGTATCGTACAGCATAGTTCCATTGTTCAAGAAATTGTTTTGCTTTATGTTCCACCTATTTGTCTCCTGCTTGCAGAACAGGTTTGTCCTTCTTTGCACAGCCCTTCAGTAAAAGATGTTGTAAGACTCTCTGAAAACCCCCTTCCCATTACTGGCACTAGAAGAGAAAAGTAAAAGTGCTTCCCCTGTGGATGTGTGAAAGGCAGCAGCCCCACTAGGCTCATTCTGTGGCAAAAATTTGTGCCTAGGGTGGGTGATAGCCACAGCAGAATAGTTGGTTCTTGCAAGCAGTCACCTCCCAGCTCAGACTCTACTCCTCATTGAGATCCTGAGAGTCTTTTACTCAAAGCTTCATAAAGAAAATATGACAATTTGTCAAGAGGAATTGAACAAACATGAAACATACTGACATGTTTTTATATACAAACAACACACTCAAAAATGCATAGTAAACCACAGAAAATATTGTAGACAAAATCACATAAGACAGTGGCTAATATCCAAAGTCCACTCACTGACTTAATCTAGTCTCAGGGAGTAGGAAACCAGCTTTAGCCACATCGTCTGGCCACTCATAAGGCATCTAACCTAACTAAACCTAACTCACTTCTGTCTAGTCATATCTAACTCATAGTGACCCCTCCTTGGGTTTCTGAGTTAGTATTTCTATAGAAGTAGATTGCTCAACCTTCCTTCAGAGGAGTGGCTGGTGCATTTGAACTGCCAGCCTTCTGGTTAGCAGTCAGATGCTTTAGACACTATGCCACCAGAGCTCTGCATAAGAAATCTAAGTTACAGTTATCTTTCCCTTCAAGAAAAGAGAAGAGATCTATCAGATTGAACATGATTTAAAGTAAGAAAGCCTGATTGGAATCTTCTGAGAAAGGACTGACAATTATACATGATGCTTAATCTTTGTAATAGTACTGTTCTGGTTACCTCTATGCTGATCTAACAGAAAATACCACAAATGGGATGGCTTTAACAAAAATAAGTTTATTCTCTTATAGTTTGGAAGCTTTAAGTCCAAGTTCAAAGTGCCATGCTCTAGTGAAAGCCCCTCAACCTTGGGCTTCAGCTCTGCCTCCCGCTCCTGGCCCACACAAGCTGGGAGGCTTTTCTTCACTCAGACAGCTCCTGGGTGCTGAGGCTGACAAGCCCAAGGTTGACAAGTAAAAAGACACAGTCTCAATGATACCAAACAACATGGCAAGCCACTAATTCAAGTCCAGATGAAGTCCCAAGATCAGCAGGGTGCAGCAGAGTGTTGAACAATGATGTGGCTACATGTGGGGTTCAAGCATACCAGAAGGCTAGAGACCATTCCCAAGGCTTCTCCTTATACACAGGAAGCAGACCACATCCCTAAGGCAGCTACTCAGCTGCTCACAGTAGATTACACCATGGAGTTGATTACCAGTCTCATCATGGGGAATACTACATTCAGCTGCCCAACCACTCAACCAGGCCCAGCCAAGTCAACACACAGCTTAACTACCATAACTACATTCTAATCT